TTGTTTTGAACTGAGGCTGTTTTAATCCTTTTTACTCACAAATCCGAAATAGGTTAATGACATAGGCGACGGATTGATGCCTTCTTAATTGCAATTGAGTGCATTAAAATGAACTAAAATATATTTTTTTTAGAAGAGGTGGCACAGAATAATTTACATTAGAGTCATCAGTGATACATTTTTTTAGTCTTCTTTTTTTTTTTACTATCCGATTTCATAAATGTTGCAGTAGATTTTGATTTAAATAATCAGGCCTACATTATTCAGAGACCCTGACTGAAGTTAGGCTTCATAATTGGTTCGCTATTTTTTAAAATCAAAGAAATACTCCATGTAAGCTGCTTGCCGTTTGTTGATGACGATAACTACGTGAAAGCTTAGTGGATTTTTTTTTTTATTCATCCCGGTTTTAAACGCTCGATGATAATGAAATTATCATCATCATTATCCTCATCGTCGTCGTCGTCATCAACAGCATCAGCAACATCATCATCATCAAGCTTATCATCATCCTCATCGTCATCATCATCATCATAATCATCAAAATTCTACTCATCGTCATCATCATCTTTTATCAAAATTCTACTCATCGTCATCATTGATAGATTTAGTTCGCTTTTTGGGTTTCCTCTCTCCTCTGTTGTTCTCCCGTCCTTTTTAATTGTATCTGTATATTTTTGTATTGTTGAGAGAAATAAATGAAATGAAAAAAAGCAATCATCATCATCATCACCATTATCTTTATCATCATCATTATTGTTATTACCATTTATGAGGCTATATTTTTCTTGCGAGACGATATAAAAATAAAGTAAATTATTTCGAATTTGTTTACTTAGAACTATGTCAAATTTAACATTCAACCCATATAAAAGATCTCAGAGCTCAAGACGGTTACTGGATTGAACAAATGAAATAATGTTGCACTCAGTTCAATCAATAAGACACAGCCTAGTAACAAGGCTATGCCTATTACTATATTATTTAAATATACAATTTTAATAGATAAGATTAATTTAACATGGACATAGTAATTCATAATTAAACAATACATTAAATTTAAATGTAAATGTAAATATAATAACTTTAACCGAATAAATAACAATAATTAATACGTGTACATCGTATCACATCTACAATAATTAAATTAATATTTTCCAATCTTATAATAAATTTTATATAATCGGAGTTAATTTTGACCTAGGCTACTATGGCTAACGACAGGTACGCTTTCTCCAATATAAAGGCTTTTTCTATGAATGGAATGACCTGTACGAAACACGAATTCCTGTAGACCAAATCCAGTTCCGTTACGATTTTAAGCGGGCGGGAAATATCCTTAAGATGCTAGAAACTATCTAGCTAATTTTGCTAAATGCGAACAAGTAAAAATATAATTATTATTTCAAGGTCAGAGTCAAACACCTCAAAATAATTATATAGCTCCATATAGTTAGACTAATGGATTGGTTTGCTTTATGTAGACCTATTGTATTTTATGTGGAATAATATATTATGCATGAGATTTCATTTGTTGGACAGAACAATTATTATTATTATTATTATTATTATTATTATTATTATTATTATTATTATTATTATCATTATTATTATTATTATTATTATTATTATTATTATTATTATTATTATTAATGATGACCATGATCAGCATCACCCTGGTCATGTTTAAAGTTTAATTTATTCTTAGTCTACGAAATTATTTGTATAATATCACCCCGTAACAGTTATTCAAAATGTATTATATTATTCCTCGTTGGATCTACTAAGCTTATTTCATTTGCCAATTTCTAAGTCTGCTTTCTTAATTGTCACTTAGAACTAATCAGGTAGGCCTACTATTGTTTATCGCCGTTGTGCGGTTTTCTCGAAAACAGTCAATTGTCATTTAAAATGTTATCAATTGGCAACTGTGCTTGTTGAGTGTGAAACGACATGTGAATCCAATAGCACATTTATTCAAGGTGGTATAACAATTTGTACACCTTATGACAATAAGAGATATGTATTTTCCTGTTAATTTTCTTCAATGCAATTAAAGACTTTCTATAATTAATTAAGAGCGAAATAAATTTCATCACAAAAAATAATGTGCAGAAACGATAGAGAAAAAGAGGGAGAAAGATAACTTTCCTGTAATGTAATAATAGAAGAAGACTTATGATAAAGGTGAAAAACAAATAACAGTTTTTTTTTATATTAAATATAACCATACCATAATAAAATTGTTTTAGAAAGAAAAAAGAAAGCTAATAAGCAAGTATTGTGTTAAAAGACAACACTAACATATATAAAAGTAGTCATTGGATACTATTAGACTGAGAATTGTCTTCCAAATCAAATACAGTAGAGTAAATGTCACGTTCACTAAATAATAACTACTGTAAATATGTTGTGTATATTCAAATGATTTGTATGTACATTAACTTGAATAAGATCTATGTAGAATATAATTCAAATAATTTATTTTTAATTCAAATAATTAAATCTAAATTTTTAGAAGTGCTCTGCATTTGGATTTCGATCACGTTATTTTACTTTACCTAAATGAAATCTGAATA